ATTTGATTAAGCATTTCCGTTATTTCATCATTGTTGCTTCCATCCCAAGGATTCATCGCATCTTCGTGGATGCGAAACCTACAAGAGTGGCAGTCTTTCAATCAGTTGGCACGTGATTCATTGACTTAAATTATATTGAATTTTGCAATTATACAATGCCGACATTGTTTTTAATGAAAGCAATGCTGTGACCAATGTCCTTTGGAACGCATGATCATATGAATTGCACAAAAAAAAGAAGCTGTTCAACTTATGCTTTACAGGGAGGCCATGGTGGTAACAACTACAAAACTAGCCAGCAAACTAAACTAACAATTGATAATATACGACATATAGGCATTCAAAAGCGTGCAAGGAAAACGTAATTCCCTGTCTTAAAAATAGCCACACAAAATATTAAAACATAAACATCCCATTCATTTCCCAAAAACGAAGCACAACCATGCTTCCGTTTCGTCAACCCATGCAGTTAACTAAAACTTTTGGTCACCATAGCTAGCAAGAAAAAAACAAAAACGGCAGAATAAAAACAAGCACACACCACCATCCTGTTTTAGTACAGTGCCAACAATACCATAAGTCAAAGTTTTAAAAAGGAAGAGAAAGACATGCATCTTCAACACTCGTAACACCGCTACATCACATTCGGCGACCCCCAAACAGGTTTGCAAAAGGCGTCGACGCAGTACACTGGAGTTGCTTCTGTGTAAGTCATCCAATGATGTGGTCGTCATCAGGCTGGCACATCATCACCTCCCGGTAAACGGCGTTATCCATAAGTGTGGAGGCGAAGTGGAATAACGGCGTACCAATCAGGGATGGAATACTGCTCAGTTTATGGATGCACTCTGAAATAGTGTACAGCGATTCGTTGCCTGTGAGGTGCCTCACCGTGACCTATTGATTCTTCGAACGGACCACATCTGTCAGATTGTTCATGCTTTCCGCAATAACGGACGCACCACTTGTTGCCTTCTTCGACTTTGAAACACTTGTTGATGGCGTCTTTCTTCTTTTTGGCTTTTCAATCGGAACATGCTCCAGTGAAGAATCTGAATCCACGTCCTGTACTCCTGCGGGTATCGGATCAGCAAATCGCTGGGCTCCCAAACTACGCACTGAATCAGATGAGTCATCAGCAACTTTAGGAAGTTTCTCTCCCGGGGTCCAATGGTGCTTCCCAGTAGCTGATGCCCCCATGAAGACCTTCTTCATCAAGTCACGGTGTTCCAAGGTTTTTTTCTTGAACTTCGCACACGCCTTGTTGATCTACAGAAATAGAGATATATGAAAGAGGCAGACGTTATATTTCATTTAATTAATTAAAAGTTAACTGAACAAGTCAAAAATGTACTGGTAAATGACATATATAAAACTTGTTTGTACATGTACTTACTGATTCCATCTTGTCCCACCACTCCTCAGGTGCCTGAAACAAACCGGTGTCACAGTCAAAGCCTATCCCGGACACTCCTTTGCTTGAATCCATCAACTTTGTCCACGCTTGCCACTCTTTTTTCAAGCTCATGTACTTATTCTTCAACTGTTTCAGTCCATGTGTTTTTTCCTGTTTTTTTCTCAAATTTCCTTGCCAACGACTTGTACCCTGCTTGGCTAAGGACTAGGAATGGGCGATTTCCTTTACTAATCTCATTTGCAATCAACTGGAGGAAAAATCGAATTGAGTTACTGTCCCATGAGGCCTTGTGGCTGAACTGATTTTGTGTCTCTTCAAGACTGCTTGACTTGTCAGTCACAACGCCTTTGCTTTTCGATTGGTTACACGGCGAAGTACGTGTGGAAACCATTACTAATGTACGGTTACAAAAGATTACCATCACAAATTTGATTGTTATATACACACGCATAAGCCATGACACATTAATAACAACAAACAGAGATATAGGATGCTAAAGTTAAATTTGCATATAACCATTACACATTAATATGGTACGTACACAGGTTCCATGGAAGTTAGTAATGGACAAAAATATGATAGTTAGTATTACGGCTCCCATATGCAACAACATACTACGAACATACTATGAACATACTAACTACATACTAACAACATACTGACAACATACTAACATGTTTGTACATACTGACAACATGGTAACGGTGCTTACATACGGCACAACAAAATGACAACGACAATGCAGAGCACATACACAATGGTCTTAAGGACACGCAAGGATTGTTGAATGTCTATGACATCAGCCCGCAATTGCATGGTAATTTCATCTCCGGGTGACGCATAGTCTTGGTTCTCTCGCCTTCGTTCTTCACACCAACTAATCCAACTGACACAGGGCTGATGAGTGGAAATTATAGAACTATTAGTTTCATGGGTTGTTAATGTTCATACAGTTATGACCGGTAAAGATTGGGTCACTCACCACAGGGCGGGGACAGACGAAGTAGGGACGCCCTGGATTTTTGGTGGACCTGGAAATCTTAACAATACAGGGGCCATGTCCACAGGCACACATTCGTCGTGGCCATGTACTGGAAGTTGCAATAGAGGTGAACGACGCCATGCTACGATTTAAATTGCAATTAAATTTACATGAATCAACATGAACACATACAAAGACTAACACAAGTTTATATTTTATTCCATGAACGAACTACATTGTTTGTAAAAGTATTGTGCATCATGAAATTAGGTATATTGGTAATATATTTTGAAATATATTTTTTATTAGATTTGTGCATATATTGTTAATATATTTTCTAATAATTTATTAAATTAATATATGTTTACTAAAAATTTTACTGACATATATTGTTGAAACTATTTTTTACGAAATTTTGTTTAAGATAATTTTAAAATATTTTTGGATATATTTTGAATATATTTTTTATGATATTTTGAAAATATTTTGCAATATATTTTTAATATAGTTTTTCATAATTAAATTTTGTCATATATGTCTAGCTAAATTTTTACACTCTTTACTTTTTAAATCTAAATTTGTAATATATATTTCAGATATATTTTAAATATATTGCTTAATAAACCCAATTTTTGTAATATATTTGTACTATAAGTTTTATATATTTTGTAATTTGTTGTTAATATATGTAGATAATATATCTACCTTCCTTCCCAAATTTAGTTCGAAATATAATTTTTATGTAATTAATATGTTTTTTAGAAATGAGAATTGAGCATTTCGTATTGAGTAAAAAATATACTCAAATTAATAAATCTATTTTGTAATATATTTTGAATATATTTTTTAGGATATTTTGAAAATATTTTTGAAAATATTTATACTATATTTTTTAATAATTAAATTTTGTCATATATGTTTAATAAAAGTTAGACACTCTTTACTTTTTAACTCTAAATTTGTAATATATGTTTTAATATATTATTAATATCTTTCTAATATATTTTTAATATATTGCTTAATAAACCCAATTTTTGTAATATATTTGTACTATAAGTTTTATATATTTTGTAATTTGTTGTTAATATATATATAGATAATATATCTACCTTCCTTCCCAAATTGAGTTGGAATTATATTTTGGAAAATTTACCCATAAGTCCTAGTTTTTGAAACGTTGAACCATTTAGTCCTAAAAGTTTTCTTATGCTCCATTTAGTCCCATTTTTACATCAACATGATGTGAATGATGTAAATGATCTGATGTTTCATTCTATAATTTCAAAATTTATTGAAATCTGATGAACATTAGATGTTTTTCATCCTATATTTTCAAACATTATTGAAATTTGATGAACATTAGATGTTTGAAATCCAATGTTTGTAACATGACTCTGATGTTATTAACATTGTATCTGATGTTATTAGCATTGTAATGGGACCTTTCACTCTATAAGAAAACTTTTAGGACTAAACAGTGCATAAGTTATTAATTTGGGATTTATTGGTGCATCCCCCTTATATTTTTTATGTAATTCATATATTTTTCACAAATGGGAATTGAGCATTTCTATTAGCAAAAATTCAGGCTTCAGCATTGACTATAAACAAAAAAATATAACAAATCTGCCCCAAATTTGTGATAACCGAACAGAACAGATTTATACAAGACCTGATAATTGTTAAGAACAGATTTGTAAATCAGAACAGATATATAAGATTTGCTTTTCCTTCAGTTTAAACAATGGTGCCTTCAATTTGTGATCAACAGATCTGATTTTCATAAATAAGAACATATATTTTAATAAGAACAGATATATTTTATATATATATATATATGTATATATACAAATCTGCCCAAATTTGTGGTAACCGAACAGATTTTCAAAATAAGAACAGATCCATAACCCAGATTTCTCATAGAGACAGATTGGTGCCCTAAATGTGTGTAATGTAAACGTAATCAACCCAATCACGACCGAAAAGCAACAGATCGGTCATGAACCGATGCCGTTATCAACCCATACTATGCAGATCGCGGAAGAAGAAAAAGAGAAATCAGATAGGCCATAAAGCATTACCTGAATCAGATCGGTTTGAGTTTGAGAGGCTTGGTTCTTGTTCACCGCCGCGGATGGGTACTCCGGTGGCGATTACCTCTGCGAAGGTCGGTCAGATGTCCTCGGATAGCTCCGTTGTTCTTCTCTTCGTCTTTCTCCAAAGGGTGTGTGTTAGGTTTGGATGAGGCGTTGTCCCTCAGATTAAAGAGGGTTGTCTTCGGGGCATTTGGGTAAATTTACACGAGTAAGGGTTTCAACATACCCGTGAATTGCATTTTGTCGAGACGTGGCTAATTCAGCCTACTTTGTCGCGACGTGGCTAATTTAGTCCGGTTTTTCCTTCCCAATAACAAATTTAGCAACCCAGATGCCACACATAAACTAAATTAAATTTCATATATGCTTTTGACCCCGTTTAGTAGACTTGTGAGAAAGTACACCTTATAGTTTAACAGCTTATAACTGTGAACATAAACTGATTTTTGACTTATAAATTAAAATTCTCCTCCCCCACTCAAAGAATAAGTTGATTTTTTACTTACAAAAAGCTATAAGCTGTATTGTTAAGCTAAATCAAACACATCAAAATAACTTAAATTAAGTTAAAAGTTGAAATAAGTTAGAAATATGGCCTTTATTACAAATCTTAAAACAGAGGTTGGACTACGAGTGTAATTTTATTTTTATTTTTATTTTCATAGAAACATGTTTTTGCTTTTCATATCCAAAAAAAAAAAAAATTATTTAGCAAAGGATCAAGTAAAAGTTTTTTTTGGGTGAATAGATCAAGTAAAAGTTCAATTCTTCTAAATGTATAAAATCCAATCGCCGAACAGGTCCCATTTTGTGGTTTAAATTTAATCTGTGTGTGCTGTTTTTTGAACGATCTATCACATAGATTGCGCCGAACAGGTACTCAGCTAGAGAACACCGGCAGAATAGATTGCGCCCGAACGATCTATCACAAAAAGATAAGATTCCAGTGGTGGTTCGTCCACCCGGAGGCATTCCGACGATCAAGTCAATTATCTCTCAAAGATAACAAAAGTGTTTAACTCACTATTCAGAATACAAAAAGCGTACCTTAAACCCATAAGGGTGCCTTACTTTTATAGCCAACACTGACTTGATCCCCCTAGAAGCCTTGCTTCCCTTGGATTTTGGCCCAATGCAAATCCTAAACTCCCAGTTAGATTGGGATAAACTCCCTAAGAATCTTATCTTTATCCAAACTGAAGTCCTCTCCCATTCTAGGACTCTTGTCCCTTATCCGCTTATTCCGGATTCTGGTATCTCCGCAGATAACCTCGGCCTTGCCGAGATCATCTCGGCACCATGACCAGCATACGTGGCACCTCAACTGGCACTTCGGTGCCACCTTGGCCATGTGTTGTTTATCTAAAAAATATGTCCCCACAACTGCCCCCTAGGTTCTATTATCTCGGCATCCTGAGGTGATGGAACCTATACCATTTAACCATATAGCACGTCAGCTAAGCTTGCTCTATCCTTAATTACCGAGGTCATCATTCGTCGGCTCCATATGACCAAGACCTGTAATCTGTTTTCACCAATGCTTTAGAACCAATAACCAAGTTTGTTTAAGTTATTTAGCCGAGATCGTCCTCCTAGCCGAGGTCTTTGCTTCATTAAATCAAGAACTCCAAGAGTTTCAAAACGCGTATGAGCTGTCACGTACAGTAATTCATCCATTTTTGCCACGCGTCTCTTCCCCATTGAACCGTACCTGACACGCGTCATTAATTCGCATCGCACTTGCATGCGCCGTCTGACAAGCACGTCGTCCTAGGCACACTAATTGCGATTTGCCGCCTTTTCGTGTTTTGACAAAATCACTTCCCTCTCTCTTCGTCTTTTCACTTCACATTTTCTGATTTCTCTCCGTGTTTCAAGCTTTCTCTCTCTCTAAACCACCATTGTCACTTTTTCAAAGCTTTCTGCAACCACCTTCGTTCACCTCCACCGACAAAGTATCCACCGTTCTGCCACTCGTACCACCAGGGTTCAACTCCGGCATACCTTACACCGACATCACTTCCTTCTGGTAA